CCTCCTAACCATTATTTCTGTTTTTCAGGAATTTCAAGAAACCTGCAAATTGCTAATCGGTTTTTTCCGTGATACGTTAAATGATAATACAGATTAGGAAAATGTACAGGCATAAATCACAAACATTTCTAAATACAATACAATAAAAATTCATATAGCAGTTAGTAAAGTATATTCCACTGGCTATCCTTATTCCCCACCCAAGAAACCCTAAAACCACCGTTTTCGTAGGACAAAATGCGGGAACTAGGGATTGATGAGGTGCACTTCATAAACTACTGTTGCCCGTGCTTTTATTACATGAGCATCTGAAACTGTTTTGTGCGATTCGGAATCCTGCAATATCGGTAGGCGTCTATTTAACTGCTGTGTACCGAATTCGCTTATGTATTCTGCGGACGTTCGTTTCTTGTTGCAACACGAATGGTTGACCCGTGCTTGAGCATTAGATGGGACACAAAACTAGGTTGTCGCGTAGAGCATGTGGTTTCGCGCCAAATTCCATGGGGTTAGGACGTGGGACTAGGTACCTTACTGGAATTTAGCGAAAGGCTACCGCGTATACGGGAGGGCATCTATTCTCGTGTCCAAATGGACATCATCGTGAGGTTGTTTGTCATGCATGCACGACCCATAGAATGAAGTGTGATTTCTAAGACTCCATATTGAAAGCAGAGTAACGATTTTACGCATTACGCAATCCAGATGCTGATGGACGAAGCTGTTTTCAAAGGCAGTCTGCCTATTTCGACAATGTTGACAGTTTTTTTTTCAAAGACAATATTTCGGTATCAGCCGGCAGTGCCAGATGATTCTTGGTGGTTTTGTTCAATTCAGGACAAGTATTCATATGCAGAAAAATTTGATTTTGACAGTATGCAAACTGCGGATGTTAAAGATAATAAAAGCCCTTTCTGAGATTAAACATAGCCTTCGTCCCCAGTGCACGTCCTGCCTACAGACAGTTTTCTGTTTTGCCTACCTGACATTCTGCCTACAGGCAGCCTTCTCTTTTACCTACATTACATTCGTCCTGCCTACAAACTGCTTTCCGTTTTCAATACATAACACTTGGCAACACTGTTTCTTCGGCGCTGTAACATGCTTCGTTCATGATTATCATTGAACTTTCAAATGACGGACTCGTCGGAATCTCTGTAAACAGACCATGTCACATTTGCATCATTCCTTCTGATAAACATGATCTATTACATTCCTTTCATCATCCCCAGAAGAGGAAGAAGAAGAGACGATTTCTGGGACCAAGGAATATTTTATCTGGACCTCGAATTTTTTCGCATATAATTTATTGCCTCCAACCTGCATTTGAGTACACATGTTTTTTGGACAAATGTCACCAGAGGTTTATTAAAGTGCTGCGCTGCAAGGGGCCGCTGCATGCGCAGGTCGCAGTCAAGCCTAAACACAATACAGAATGTCCGTACGAGGTCACTACGCGTTGACTTGTAATTCAGAAGATACATTTTTTTCTGATAAGGTGGTGCTGGAGTGGAAATGTTGCATGGTAGATGATTAATTTCGTACATCAGCTCTTTCGCAGATGGTTATTTTACTGCACCTATGGCCTGCAAGCCTGGAGTAGACAATGAAGATGCGGCTAGGCAAATACCAGAAAGACTAGACAGACACTCCTTAACCTGTGAAAACCTGCTGGAGAACTAGTAGGCAGCGGGCGTGCAACTTATCCACTCCCAGTACGGGGCAGTGGTGACGAAAAGAAAATACCGATGCGGGACTCCTATTGAGGCTCCATAATCGAACTGTAAATCCTTTCACGAGGACCAGTTGGAAGGTGTATCTGGTGCCGACAGCCGCGGTACCTCCAGCTCCAATAGCGTATATTAAAGTTGCTGCAGTTA